AAGGAAAGGAAAGGAAAGGAAAAGAAACACAGCAGATCAACTATTCTAGAATCATCTATTGTTGATTGAATCGAAAAAATAATAATAATAAATCAGAACACCGAACAAAATATATTACATAAGTACTTGAAACGTTAATAATTTAGTATTTCAGATAATTAAAAATTGATCATAGAAAAAAGATTTGTTCCCGAACTTTTTTAAACTAAAAACGGGCTTCCTTTTTCATTTAATAAAATACGTAAACTCTCAACTACGATGAAACAGAATTCAAAGATTTGATTCAAAATTATCAGTTAAAAAAAGTTATTTTAAAGCTAAAATGAAATTTTGTTGGGATCCAGAACTTTTCAAAAGAAATACCAAAATCAAAATGAAATTTCAGGGGAAAAAAATTAAAAACGTCTTTATGGCGTTTAAGAATATCGAAGATAAACCATACTTCTTCGGACTCGTTATTTTCGAAATTACAAGGAGTAAAATCAACTAAAAAGCCTGAAGATTTCCACCTTTTTTCTTGAACGAAGTACAGCGAACGAAGCAGTTTTAGTTGTAGCAACTACGTAGCATTATGGTGTTTTTTAAGTAATTATTAAATTACTTTATAGTAAATATTCTTTTAGTTAAGTTATTTAAAGATTTCAGTTAAATTCATTACCTTCACTTTGTATCTGTGATTTCTGGCCAGCAACCAAAGTCTGCAACAACAACAAGAAAATCGAATGAAAACTTTATCGTGCAACAAACCCCTGTTTAATTTTCTGTATCAAAAAATTCTCTTACCAGAAAGTTGACAATAAGTAGAAAAGTCTGAAAGTTTTTGAAGTACATCATTATAAAGTTTCTTGGCGGCAAAATTGGAAGTGCCTTGTCTTGTTTAGGGAAAGAAAAAATTGGATTTCCACCGAGCAGTGGTTCGTCGTTGTTGTCTTGTCAACAAAGTTGGTCCTACTGGCGAAGAACTGAAAAACCTTGCAACACAGACTTGCAAAGTAGTAAATACTTAATGAGTTTGGAGCGAACTTATAGCCAATGGGATCGTTACTTTAGAAACTTGTTCATATTCGATGAAAAAGAAATAAAGAAAGAGGGAAACATCCAATAAATGGAATGTTGAATGAATGTTTTGGTTCAAAACATTTTTCCTTACGCGATGTGCCGATTTGGTAGTTCGACTTTTCTTCAGAAAACTACCTCTTTTGCTTTCACAGTGTACACATTTTCTACTGCAAAAAAATGTTATAACATTGAAAATACTATCGTCAAAGTAAAACTCGGTAGCCAAAACCTAGGACTTAAATTAGGTTAGCAAACAAAATAACAGACAAACAACAAACTATATTAAAAAGACACACRCACACAAATGAACTTAGCTATAAACACTATAAGCAAGCAAGCAAATAAACAAACAACAAACGAGCAAACAAGTACCTAAATTTTAATTCGCTTCAAAATTCTATTAAAATTTATGAGTAAATTGAAAATCGAGATTTTTTCCTTTCTAGGTACTCTAAAATGAATCAAAAAACAATAAAAATCTTTTTAACTTCAAACGAAAATCTTAATCAAAAATAGAACGCGGTAGAGGTCTTTTGAAAAGAGAAGACATGACGTTATAGTGGCAATGTCATCCATTATTTATAAGCTGAATTTACCCCTCAACAAAGGAAAAAGTAATAGAATTTTAGAACATTGTGTAATGGAACTTCATTGTACAACCACAGAAATTACTTTCACAATGTTGGTTATAATGCAAATAAGAGATATATTGTCACGAAAATTATCGCCATCCTTACCACAATTCACAAAACACCCAATTCTGATTTCACAAGGCTTCTTCAAAAGAAAAAAATATTTGCGGAAAGTTCAAAATTGTGTATTTTTGATGGATGAAATCATACGATTGGCAAGTCGCTGTTAAACAACAGATTTATAATTTATGTTTAAAACATTAAGATGCGAAACTTTTCTCGACGATCCGTCGTTTTAAAACTACCACCAAGAATTTATTTATGATAGACTTGATTCGTCTTGGCGCAGTGTTTCCCATTACAGACCACGTGTCGTTTTCTTGAGAATAAGATTCTTTGTTTTAGTTGTATCCAGGCATATTCATGCGTCTTCTCATACACAACCATTAAACAAAGAAATGATAATGAAGGGAATGAACCGTGGTCTGAAATGGGAAAACATTGCACCAAGAAGAATAAGGTCCACCGTGCAAATGTCGAGATAATCCATGTAGAAGGTTACGAACCGACGACTATAAGGTGTTGATTGAGTATATCGTGGTGTCCAGTAGTCTCTGTTTTTTGATACTGTCCTCTAACCACTTTGCTGTCACAATATTGGTGCCTTGAGATGGAATGTCTGTCAGTTTGGAATCCTAAATGACCACAAATGAAGTCATCAATAACTCTTTCTTACATCTTTATCATCAACATCATCATCTTCTGTTAGAATCGTCATCGCGAACATTCTTCATCAGAATCATCAATGATATATTAAAAATAGGTTTCATAATCATTATTGTTATTACTATCATTATTTGTATCATTATCTCCACCATACTCGTTCGATCATTCTTAGTCATCATCATATCGATGTAAGCAATAGATTTTCTCGTAATCATTGGAAACTTATCGTCCATCATAAACTCCACCACTAAATATCATCTTTATCATCATGATCATTGTAAACTGAGCATTGCAACTACAGCAACAACAACACCATCAACACACAACAACATTAACACTTTTTTCATCATCACTTTCCCCTGCATCTTCACCAACAACTTCACCATCACCACTAGCAACATCACTATCATCAACACAAACCAACAAATTTATCACCAACTTGAACATCACCAACAGCAACATTATCACCAACATCTTCAATACCAGAAACATCACTACCTTTACCATCACCACTAGTAACATCACTACCATCAACACGCATCATCAAAATCATCAACCATCAAGATTACTATCATCAACACAGACCATCAATATCATCAACCATTAAGATTACTATCATCAACATACACCATCAATATCATCACCACCCTCGCTACCACAATCACTACCTTTACCATCACATCTGTCACTACCACCACCATCACCACTACTTTCATCATTAACATCAACACACACCAATACCAACAACAGCATCACCATCACCATCACCATCACCACCATCACCATTACTTTCATCATTATCATCAACAACATCATCACCCTCACTACCACCACCACCTCATTTACCATCACATCCATCACTAACCACCACCATCACCATCACCATTACCATCACCATTACCTTCATCTTTATCGTCGAAACACACCAATACCAACAACAACATCATCATCATCATCATCATCATCACCATAATTAACCTTACTAACATAAAGTGATCACTACAAATATCGCCAATATCATTATGAATTTTTTAAAGACTTACTCGTACCTCATTGCTACAAATAACATGAGTAATGTTTTCATCCATATAAGATTGCACGTCCCCGTCATATGTATGAATAGTTAAAGAAAACCAAGTAAAAACCAACAAACAAACATTGAAAAACAAAAACACAAGAAACATATAAAGAGCTTTAAGGATATGCAATCACATAACGGCTGAGTAGTTTTACTCGGTCCTTCGGAACATCATCAAAGAAAACCCGAACACCCGAGAAGAAATCGGGCAACGGTCGTGGAAGCGAGTCCTTTTTATTTTTTTTCGGCGTTGGTTCATCTTGGCTTCGATGAGGTCTCGTTGTAGAGATATCGATTTTGTCACTGGTGTTTACAGTGGATGAAGTACTGGGCCTTGATGTTGATGAAGACTGTTTTCTTGGGAAATAATATCTGGGAAAAGTTTAAGTGAAGAATAATACGAAGAGTATCAAAAATTTTCAAATGGCTTTTGGTTTCGACCAATCAAAGACCAGAAAGATGGATAACAGCCAATCATATTGCTTGTACTGCATATGGGAAGTCATTTAAATGAAGTTCCCCACAAGTGAGAGAAAGTAAGTTTTAATTTTTATATCTTTGGGTCAAAGGATACATAAACGTTGGGATCCCTGTGGCAGCTAGGTGCTTCCTAATGAGTCTTTCAGTGCCATACCAGTTGAAGCTTGGTGTTGAATGACCAATGCGCGGCAAGTGAACTGATGCTGAAATTAACAAAACAGTAAGTTGGGATTAAAAAACTTTTATTGTTTATTCTTCAATGCTGCAAAGGATTCAATAAATCTGAAGACAAAAGGAAAGGATTCAAAAAGAATAAAAACAGAAACAAAGCAACAAAAAAAAAAAAGAGAAAAGAAAAGAAAAGAAAGGAAAGAAAGAAAAAAGAAGTAGGAAAGTATAAATCAAGAAAGTGAAAAAGCAAGTTAGAAAGAAAGAAAATGGAAAGGGATTAATCTAAGGAGAAGATAAAACATTTCCCACTTCACCAACCTTTCAAATCTTTAGCAGCTTGAGACACGCGTTCCAGTCCTTCACTCAAAGCTGATAGATTCATGGGCAAAAGACGATGATGTCTATCACGTGATTGAGCAACAATCAATGACAACTGGAAAAAAAGCAACACTTAAATTACGATGTCAAAAAATCTAAGATATAACTCATATACGTTTAAACTTACATAGCTATTGCTATCTTTTTGGTCGTCCTCAGCGAATGGTATGAGATGTGCATCGCCAAGGTGAAGATCTGGAATTAATATAAATAAATCATTCCTCTTTATCTTGCGACTTTATAGCTGTTTAGCAAACAAATAGTTCCATGGTTCCACGGTAGGATTCAGATTTCAGAATCGTTAAACTCATCACTAGTATTTCATTACTTATTCTCGCACATATAAGGATCGAAAGATTTACCTTTCATCTCACCAGCCAGCTCGTAATGTTCCTCTGGTTTTTTTGAACGACGAGAGATTGCAGTAAAAACGCCACCACTTCCCCAGTAACCTGAATCGTCTGGAAAATGAGAAGACATACTGAGTATTGGTGATCCAGTGAACGCATGCCAGAGGGAGGGAGAAGTAGCGGGAGAGGGAGAGTAAGAGGGAGATAGTTGCTTCCAAGATTTTGGTAAATGTAAAAAAATGTGTGCCCAAAACAGTGTAGTACTTCCCATATTCTTGGAAGTCCCAAGCCCATCGTATATTCCCCAAAGATTTTTCTTGACCTTACCAACAGTGTGTACAATAATGGTTGGGTTGCCTGTGGCATTGATAGGCTGTGTGACGTCACCATTAACGTATTGAATATCTAATTTGTCTTCTTCTTCTTCTTCATCGCTCATTTCTTCCTCCTCTTCCTCTTCCTTCTCTTCCTTCTCATTTAGTGTAATGTTCAATGAGATGTAGTCGTTTTCTCGCCACAACGTCTCTCTGGGGAAAAGTCAACATTTATATGATATGTTATAAGACTATTGTTGAACAATGATGGTGCCTTGTCCCATTGTTAACGTCCATAAATATACGATGACAGGGTTAGCCATTCGGAGGTTGAGGGGGGGAATATGGGTTGAGTTGGAATTGTAGTGCAATGTGGGACGATGTGGGACTGTTTTAGTTAGGAGACTAAATAGACACCATCAAATATCTCCCCATATATACTCGATTGAAGAATCGTTGTCGGGTTCAGAAACATCGAACATAGAAGCTGAGACCGAAATGGTACATGGGAAGTACGTTAATTAGATGCATGCTGTGACCGGCGACCCGTGGGATCATCCACTGTTTTTAATATGCGTTTGGCATTCTAAACCGAATGCATGGATGGCGCAAGTGAATAAATTATAATATAATTATGTCGTTTCCCATGTGTCATTTCGGTCTCAGCTTCTATGTTCTATGTTTCTGAACCCGACAACGATTCTTCAATCGAGTGTATGTCCCCAGAATGCACTGCATTGCCAACTCGAACCCAGTTTTCCCTCAACCTTGGAACAACACTTACAATTTCCTTTTTCTAGCCTCTTCTTTCATTTGTTCTTTCTGTTCTTTCAGTTTTGCTCTCTTGGCTGCATCCTCTTCTCGCTGGAAAATAATAAATTTTAAATACAAAAATCATAAACTTTTTTTCAAGAATAAAGAATGCCTAACAATTACAAAATGCCTCGAAAAATTATAAACTATTAACTGAACCTCCATGAAAAATAATCAAACGGACGAAATATATTTAAAATATTTCTCATAAGTTTACTTTTTTTCGTCTTTCCTTCAGCTCCTCTGGCGTTAAAACTTTTCGTTTTCTTGTTGGTAAATCAAATGACAGCGGCTGAAACTAAATAAAGGAATAAGTAAACAAAATTTTCTTTGTTTCCGTTGAATCCAAACTGTGTCTTCTCATGTGTATCCGTTAAACAAAGAAATGATACTATAGGGAAAGACACGTGGTCCGAAATAGGTCTAAAAATAGTAAATAGGTCTATCTATTCAACTTTAGCATAGTTATTTTAGTATGATAAGCTTGTACAAATGAATCACTTTAAAAACGTTGAAGGAAATACTTACTCTAGCGACAGTACGACGAGCTCGTTCAGAACTTGTGACCTCTTCAAGCATATCTATATTAGAAAAATATCGGATTAAAAAGTAGGCAATAGGTGAAGGACAACTATGAATGCATTTGAGCAAACATGTATTGAAATTACAAATGAAGGAAACTTTAGAAAAAAGACAAAGAATGAATGAAAAGATAACGAGTAGCTTTCGTATGACGGTACAGACGTGGCGTCGATGTCGCCGTGGTCGAGCTTTGTGATTCGTTCAGAAGTAATTTCTCTCGCTGTGATTCGTTCACGTGATATTATCAGTTTTACACCGTCACCGTACCGTCATACAGTAGGCACGGAAAGCTCCTTTGTCGTGTCGTAAAATTTCGAATGGAATTTCACGATTCTTACCAGCCACCATTTTATCGAAGGCAGCTTTGTCACGTTCGATGTTTTCCTTGGAATAGTCGTGTCCTTCATAGACATACATGCTTTCAACTGCCAAAAATATCATCATATTCATACATTAATAAACAAGAACTGGTAAGAACAGTGGCAGAGACAATAGTCGTAAAAGCAATATTATTTAACAATGATATATGGTGGAAGACATCCAGCAAGTATAACAATAACAACAGCATTACCAAAACAAAACCACTGACAACATCGATTACAGAAGGAACAACAACAATAACAACAACGAGAGCGGCAACCGCAACAACAAAAACAGAAGCAACAACAACAGAATAAACAACAACAGCAGCAAAACCATAACAACAGCAGCAGCAACAATATCCGAAATCAACAATAGCAACAATGACGAAACCTTGGTTTGGTTCATTTTCTTCCACTTCCATTTCTTCCTCTTCTTCTTCATTCTCTTCTGCTTCTCTTTCATCTTCTACCACCCATTCACCATTAGCACTTTTGCCAAGTATCCTAACACAAAAAAGGAATCTCTGTTGTTCAAGAAAAACATAAAAAATAGGAAAATATAATCCTAAATAAAGGTGTAAAAAAACTAACAACCTTTCTTTGCCTAATTATACGACAATCGAAGAAGGAGAAAGAAGATAAGTTGATCATGAGTAAGCAGGTTTCTTTACCTTTCGTAGTCTTTTTCCGTTATTATTCTAAAAAAAAAACACATACAAATAATACTCAATTAAGAGAGTGCAATCAAGTGCAAATCGTGTACTTGTGAGGGGAGGGGAGGGGGATGCTCAGTAATTTGAGTACAAGAAATCGCCAGAGTCGCATTCAACACATACAAAGAAGGAATGGAATTAAAAGAAACCGATGACAAAGAAGTAGCATCAGTGCACCTGGGGTAAAAGGCTCAGGAACTGGGAGAGTAAAATTGTTCAGAAACATTCTTAACTCACTTTTCTTCTGAATCAAACAGCTTGTCCAAACCAAATTTCAGGATATCTGAAAGCTAAAATAGTAATATATATTTATTCATCATTTTTTCTTAACTCAAAATAACTTTTCATGCTGAAGTTTCGAAACAAACCCTACTCTTTAGCGTGGAAAAATTAAGGTTCAACAAAAAAATTGCAGTTTATTTTACATTGATAATACAGGAAATGGTACCATAGTCCAGTCATATGTAGAGAGATCAACGCCGGATTGAATACAGGTTTTGCACCATCACGTGACGGCAGCCATGTTAGATGGCAGGAACAATATACAATCGTTTTTCATGAGAAAGAATTCAATTTCCGAGAGCAAATGGATTTTATTGTTCTGCCTCTAACCACAAGCAGTCCAAGCTGGATTATGGGCGCTGGCATGTGATAGAGCAAAACCTCTATAGATCTCTTTAGTAGCCTTGGCGTAATGTTTTGCCTATTAAAGAACATGCGTCATTTCCATGAGTATCTTTTTTTGCGCATTAAAAGATACAACTCAAACAATCAATCTTATTCTCAAGAGAATGTTACGTTGTCTGAAATGGGTAAAACATTACGCCCAAGAAGGCTGTTGGAATTTATGAGTTTTGTAGAGGAAGGAAAAACATAAAAACCGGAAAAACACCTTGAAGGACACAAAAAAACTAACCAAGAACTCCATACTGAGATTTAATGGAGGGTCTGGGGATTGAGCGCTCAAACCATAGCAGTGAAAAGCCAAACCAATCATTTGGTGATACTTGTAGGTACTACTAGCTTACATACACTGATCCATTTCCAGATATGGACCCTTCTCAAATGAACCTTTTTCTCAAACTGAATTTGTGGTAATTCTTTTGTGTTTCCAAGTTAGCCTCGCATCAATCCAAGATCATTTCATTGAGAAGGGTTCATTATGGGGCACATACAATACCTGTAAATTGCCTTCTAAAATTTGATTCATCTCAGGAGTAATACTTGAAAACTGAAATGCAAAGTAGTTTGTTATGCACAAGCGTAGGTCTTGTCAGAAAGGTCTTGTACTATAAAGGAAGGGGAGGGTGGGGGGGGGGG